GTTCAATTGGATGGCTTTAATGAGTAGTTTCTCATTTAATAACTACTGTAGTCCCGACATTTTTGATATGAGGATTTTCATCTTGAAATCACGCACCTCAGAAACTTGCTTTTAACGGACGTCAAGCAAAGTCTGGGACACCCTGTATATTTAATTTTAATATATTTTAATTTAATCGCAAATACTCTAAAGCAAGCATAAATTAACCGATTAAAATTTATTGGATTCTGATACGTTTACAATGGACACGAAATTACTTTCGAAAATATGACTTACTATACATATCATGTGTGAAGTATGAATATTTATATTTTATATTACATAATTCACATTTTACTATATCGATTTTCTTACAGTTTATCCCGTGAGTACGTTTTTCTTAGCTTTTCTTTCACGAAGCTGCGATTAAAATTATCGCACTTATACAAAGTATAAAAAAAAAAAAAAACAAAGCGAACGACGAACAAAGGGTAAACATACATTCGCGGGCGCTCGTACACGAAAAGTGGCGCGTCCACTTCGCGATTAGCATCGCAAAATATTCTCAGCTCCCCGACGGGATAGCGTCGAAGGGCTCGGGGATGCTCTCTCAGGGTGGTCGCGTTTTATATTGCTTTTCTGTGATCTCGACGAGAAGGGCAAAAAGGCAAGCGCGTGTTAGGCAGTGAAGAGGTCGCGGAGTAACGAGAAGAAGAAATCGCGCGGGAGAAGTTGCCGCAGGCTGGCTTTGTAGTTACGGACAAGTTGTGCGGCACCGACAGGCACGAGAGACAATTCGTTAGAGAAGCAGCGCGTTCGTTATGATACATTAAGAATCACCGACGGCAAATCGTCGCCCTCTTTTCCAATCCTTAAAGGATGGTAGAAATTGCAAAGCTCAACTGCTTTTTATGTAATATTTAATTTTCAAATAATAAATGCATGCACTGAAAAATTTATCGTACATTTTATGTGTCACTGGTTTCTATAATAAAAATACAGTAACATATTTATACTTTTTAATATTAAGTATTTTACTCGAATTAAAATTCAATCTTAATCGGAGTAACAATCAGTTGATAGTAGATAAAAATTTTTTTGTCTATTATTTTTATTAGTAATTGCTTTTCTTTCATATTTTGACATCTGTCATGTCCAAGGAAAATATAATCCAGGTCTAGAGTGTACAGGGTGACAAAAAAGTTTGGCTATAAAGTTTTGTGTTCAGAAAATTGTTAATAATGTATATTTGTAAAAAAACAATTTTTGAACTATAATTATGTATTATTAAACGTCGAAAATAATAATTAACAAAATTTTAAAATGGCTACCTTCAGTTTTGATACAAACTTTATATAAAACACTTTGGAAAGATGTGCGTCAATGATTTTTACGGATAAAAATGTTCCCAAGCAACTAATTGAGCGATTTTCAATTCATCATCCAATGAGAATCTTTTAGTACAGAATATTTTTGGTATTAAATAAAGTATAAGTAATACTTCAAAGTTTATTTTTTAATACACATTACTATCTTTCGATTAGTGTTCCATCGAAGATTGACGATTCTTCTATCGAAGATCCTATTATTTTGCCAGATATCGATAAATAGTACCAAAATTATCAAAACTAAAATTGTTTTGTGCGTTTTCTAAAAAAAGAAAAAAAGGTTATTAGATATGACTCTCTTGCCAAAGATTACGACAATTTTACAAAAGATCGATTGTTATGAAAATTTATACTGTTTTCTAATATATTCTCTAAAAAAAGATTATCAGATCTAACAGTTATCGTTCAAAAAGAAAATCGACGCGCACATTTAAAAGTAAAATGTTGAAAATAGGTAATCGGACATTTTTTCGTACCAAAAATTTAGTCAAAAGTCGAAGTCTTCAGCCGAAAACAGGAAAGATAATCATGATTATTATCTAAGAAGCAAGTTGACGTTATTTGTCTTCATTTTAATATCTTTAGTATTATTTTGACAAAATAACAATAAATAACTACTTGTTTGCTACTTGATTTGATAAACATACAAAACTTGATCACGCAAACTTTCTTGTCATATATTTGTCAATATTGTATAATAATATTGATCTACTTGTGTATATTCTGGCAGAGCTGATCCCTGAATAATAAACAGATTTTTCCTCGGTCTCTCTTGCTTTCAATGTCTTTCACCTTTTTTGCATCATCATACGATGCAATCATTCTTAAAATGCATGAATGTGCTTATAGCACGTGCGCACGCATGCATGCACGCACGCACGCACGAGTCCTTCGAAAAATAAAGCATGAGCTTCTTACATCGTCACCGTAGCATGACTTAATTAATAGGAAAGAGCGAGTAGCGTCGACAAAGTCGACGTCTTTGTCGAGGAGTTCGCGGCACTGGGTCAATAAAGACCGCCGCCGAGTAGACGATGGTGTTTCACTAATTACGTCAACTCGCTCGGAACGACACCATCGGCGATCGCGGTATAATTGAATGAGGCGAGGATGCAGTGCGATAATAAATTCATTCGGATTCGCGTTCGATCGACTCGCTCTACACATCCGGTGACTAATCGTCTGTTTGAATACGCTTGTACAAGGCATTAAGGCTCCTTTATGCTACGCGGCTTTACAACGATCTCTTGAATGAACTCGCATTGATGTGTATCTTAGGCTCTTAATATAGAATGTGGTCTTCAGAAGTTTGAGATTAGAATAAAATTGATATTGTTAATCCAGCAAAGTGCATTTCTATTATAAAATATATACCGATATTAATATAATAAATATCGCTTGACAATATAGAATAAAATGATTTACTTCTACATATATATTTGGATCAGAAAATTAAATTTTTCGTCATTTTAAATTGATTAGATTAGACGTCAGTACGATAATATCATATCAAAATGGAGCAGCGTAGTTAGGGCTTTAACATCGCGCGAATCGAGTATCGCGTTGCTCGACGGGCGTGCGACAGTTTGACAGATGAATGAACAATTGTTTTACTCTGATTTTGACCATAATGATGACATTGCGTACACCGATCGTTAATTTATTTCCGCGCTGAACTTTTTCGTCGGGACGAACACGTTCGCGCCTATCCGATTATTCGTCAGCGCGTTCTCGCGAATAAATGCAAAATTACGGGGACATTCCCACGGTAATGTACATGTTCGTGAAATCGGTTGCAATTAACGTTAATTCATTCGCGAAGGATTTAAATACATGTCTCCGTCGTGTGGGGAAAATAAAATGGAGTCAATCGTAGATTTTCGCTTCTTCAACGGTGGTCTATTGCGTGCTCCGCGTTATCGATGACCCTTGAAAATATATAGCTACTCGCCAAATAGATCTCTCTATATACCATCGCAAATAGAAAGTAGAGTGATTCGATAAATGTTGCAAGTAAAGCTCGGAAATAGCGGCAATACTTTTTCATATCTGAATGCGATTTCAATTTTTTCTTATATTTCTGCATTTTGTATTTCTGTTACATATTCTTTTATAGCATGACAAAGGATATGAGTGTTAAACGACTAATTGTTTCATGTTAAGCTTGGAGAAAAATGTTATAGGAAACATTGCGTGCGGCTCTTGATAATTGAAACGAAGTCCTTGCTCAGTATCAACATATCTGCATACAACGTCACATCAGTGTACGTGTTTGATATGATTCATGGTCACGGTAAAATCATTAGCAATTTGAATAAACAGAATTATTGAACGAAATGCTAATATCAATACTATAATTATGTTTCTAATAATAGGACAGAATTCAATCATTATATTCGTTATTTTATCTTTAATAAATGGAGTAGTTATATAAGATATATTTTTCAGTCACACAATGTGAAGCGATCTCGATAAAACAAAATTAATGTTTGAAAAAGAGAAAAAAGAGAAAAAGAAAATGAGAGAATGTGTGTTAAACTACTTGATAATAACTGAAAAAAACACGCTCGTATAATGTATTAAAAAATATATGTATAAAATAATATCAAGAAATGAGCAAAAATTAAGATAATTTTAACTTAACATCTTTATTTTTGCTCGTCTTGGCTTCCTCTTATTTCATATATGTATTATTAACCTTTAATATACAAGATTGGATTATTCGTTTTTATACATTTTTTTTCTTTGAAAAAGTAGGAGCATCAAGTAATTAGTTATAACATTTATATAAAATTTTTTTAAATATACAATCTTACAAATATTTTCTAAAGATGTTAAAATATATGTAAGAATTACTTAATAATTTTTGTATATTTGTTAAAGTAATGGAAATTAATTCAAGACACGAATGTGACTCATCGTGTGTAATAAAATATCGGAAAATCATCCAGTGTATACTAAGAATTAAAATATTTATATTAAATATCATTATTTTACAATTAACGCACAAAATTAGAATCTCGATGTATGGAGTCCGCGACTGAAATGAAAGTAGAAACGCAGGCAATGATTCGTGTAATTAACGGTAGAACTAACGGCAGAAATCCTGGCGAGCGGTTAATCGCGGTGACAGCCGCGGATTAATCGAACGACGACACGGCACGTTCGATCGATCGTGAAGGAATTATCGTAAGAAGCATCATCATGAACAAAAAAGAAATAAAAAGAAAAAAGAAAAGGAAAAAAGAAAAGCCGGTGGTCATTCATCGTGGGAGTTCGTTTAACCTCATTCGCGTGAGTTTCTATCAGCCGCCGGGATGAACATTGCGAAATCGAATAAGCCCGTGGGCCGAAGAATCCTTGCAGCAATCTTATCGGCGAGACGGCGAATCGGAGTATCGGAGTACCTATACCGAAATGAGCACGGCGTGCGGTGGCGGTTCGATAATGGAATGCGCGAGACGATGTCATGCCCGTGTCGACGGACTCGGAACGACGAGACGTCGGGTCGTTAAATTATCAAAAGGGTCGAGAATAACGAGCCGGGAACTGGGAATGAGGAAATGACCCCAGTAACGAGGCAAGGCGACAACGAGGCAAAAGTTGTCAAGCCTAGGCTCCGGTGACACCCACCTTGCCAGTGGACCACTCCTCTTGGCTCGCTGGCCGAGGATCTTCTCGACCACGGTGACGTTGCCACTTCTTGCTGCCTCGAGCAGCTCCTGGTCCTTGCCCATGGTCCATTTACACCGCGATCAAGCCACGATCTTTGCCCGCACACTTGTCAATTTCTGTTTTCACTACGATTACTCGCGTTTCATTGATCCAACGTGGCCATCTTGGCCGAACTGACGCGCCGCCATACGGCGGTCTGGCGAAACTACTTCCTCGATGAAAATGCACGATAAGAGCGAATGAGACATCGCGAGCAATCCCGTACGTCTTATCAATGGAGCGAGCGAGATGGCACGATCGTGCGCTCGTACCGTCGTTGGCTGTTGTATGTATGCATGTACGTCTATATGAGCGTCACGAACCACGAACGAGCACGAGTTCGTAGAGCCGAATGTCAAATGACAGCTGTTGCGTCGTACTGATTCTCCGTCGCATCGAAAACGCCGGTTCACATTCGTACTTAAACAGTAACTTGAACAAATAAATACGTAATACGGGATGTGCACTAACATGAATCGAGCCGTTATCTTTCTATTGGTTTTATCATTATTCTTCAGTAATGGAACGATGGCGTTAGAAAATACGACTACCGAATCCGGTAAGCATACATAACCTCAATATTCAGCAAACTTCTCATGAAATTGTAAACGACGGTATCTTTGAGTAAAACTTAGGACGGTATTTATTATTTATTCTTATTTTAAGGTCATCTTTAATAGTGTCTCAAGATACTAATACGCGCGGCTCTCTGATTTATTCATAACATCTTAAGATAACCTTAAATTTAAGAATCGACTATGAATATCAGTCTTAGAACTATTAATAATATGCAAGTATCTCGGATATTTTCACATTATTGAAAATATACAATACAATTCAATCATTATTTAAAATATGGATAATATCTGTATAGCTACTCCTCCTACTTATTCAAAATATATGAATTATACTTATCCAATTCTATCCCAAAGATTAATTCTAATCTGGTTTACTACAAATCACACACATCCTTTTTATATTTTTATGAAAGGGATACTACTATGTCATGAGAAAGGCTACAGCGTATTTATCTTTTTTAATTCTAGGAATATTCTATAAATATATAAAGCTTATTTGAGCCAATACAGGATGTAAGAGTATAATAATTCAATTTATTAAAAGAGATACATATATATATACATATATACATTTAAAAATTTATTCATTGGAGCCTGGTACGAATTTTTAATTTAATCTAAGAATATTCTTAGAATTCGAAAAAGATGAAGAGTAAATTGAATCGAGATTAAAATTATTCTTACATTGATGGAATCGAATTTTAGGTATTTGAATATTATAATCTCAATTAACTATTCGAAATTATTAATATCACATAATTGGATTATTTACATATTTCCTGAAAAGTACAGATAGTATCTAAATACTTGTTAAATACTAAATTATATTATTCATAATTATAAATATCTAATATTCAGATTAATCAAATATCGGTATTCGATTAACTTGAAGCATATACGAATAATTTCCAAAAAAATGTCATAAAATGTATAAGCAATTTATGGATATTTGTATGGATCATTTACTATTCAATTTTATAATTATAAACAAGTAATATATGAGTGTAGGAATATACATTTTTTGAAATGTACAAGTACTCTCTGAAAGTAAATCAATGTTACACTTATAGCTGATGTAGTCAATAATCAGCGAATATTTATTGCCTTTCAGTAATAATATACTGATTTTTTTAGAAGTTATGATTTTTGCAGATTGAATCTTCTAAAAGTGAATCAGTATGTTATTACTGAAAGAAAATAAAGAATTCGCTGATTACATCAGTTATAAGTGTAGAGTGTAGCACTGAAGTTGATTCATTTTTAGACAGTAGAAGCAGACATACTAGACAAATCTAAATATCCGTTTACTATGCAAAATTTGTAAGTATAACATTCAAATACTTTAATAATTATATTATTCATATTATTTATAGAGAAAAATTACTTTTATGTAATTTTTTAGATACGCTGAAGTTAATGATATATAGTAAACGATAATTTATCTATTATCTAAGATTAATATAAAATACATTGAAATTATTAGGACAAGAAAAATTTATAAAATGGAAAAAATTCTAAATGAAAAGAAACATTATTATATGACTACTTGAATGTTAAAGTGGATTCTCCTACTTTACAGACAGATATATTTGAACTTTCCCATGAAGTTCAAATAGTTTGAATTTTCACAGAAAATTGGAATGTATTTAGATATTATCAGATTCAAAAGTTTCTTTTCATAAACATGTTTATGAAACACATTCTCCTAACAATACTCTTATGTTGATTCTGTCCTCATAAATTTATCATGAGCACTTCTCTTCCATTTCTTAAAATTATATTTAAATGATCACAAAGATTTTTAACAACGCTCTGTAATATTTTTTGTTAAAATTCCGGAGTTCATGTTACTCATTTATTAGGGAGTCCAATACAGAAACATTAAAATTTACATTTAATTATGTCCCAGTGAAAATATAGTTACTTAAACTTTCTTACCTTACTACACAAAATAAAAGAATAATACTTCAAGGATTAATTTAGGATATAAGTTTGTTAACGAACTTTAAGCCATATCTTGACATTGAACATTATAAAAACACTTTGACATATGTGTACTTATATACGTAATATAATAGAACATCAATCATTGTCAACAAAAAGATTGTGTCAGTAGTGGCGGCAATTGTTTCACAACTTCAATACTTATTTAAGAACAAGTTAAAAATCTCTTACAAAAAATGGTATTAATTATAATAAAATTTTAAGTGGAATATTACTGGGCTCATATGTTACCACTTTTCCCTCTATTATTTATTTCTCTTTATTATTTATATTTCCTTAATAATCGAGGTTTATATATTCATAATGCGTAAACAAATCATAATGTTTATTATCTTAATATTATAACACAATGATTCTAGATATTTCATAATATTTTTTGATGAATAAGCACATCTTTATTATTTCGACAATGTAAATAACAAGTACACGAATAATACAAATACTTGAATAATATAAATAATATCTACTGGATATTTGGATACATGTTATTATCTATATGTTTCGAATAACGTAATTGTCTATATATCCGAATAATTGGATCTCGTTTATTCTATAGCTTTAATATATCCCTATATTATACAGGGTATCATTTTAAAGGCATTCTACAGGGCATTTAAAGGATCCATTCAAATATCTCAGAAACACTGTGTTAAATTGAAAAATGTTTTGTGACTTCGAGGGAGACTTCAGATGGTACCATTGGTTTGACCTTGAATGGCGTTGTCAAAGTCAGGATAAGGTTACTTTGAATTTTTTTAATGGAATTCCCCATTTTTCATTAGATATTCTTGTAGTTTACCTCGAGAATTTTTCAAAACTTTATAATAAAATATTTTTTCATTAAATACTTTGCTTGTTATATAAGATTTGAAAGTTACAGTACTGTCGACATTAGCATTGCCCAAAGTGTTCGACCAACGGCTAAAACCTCTTGAATGTTGTTCAGGATCTGGATAACATTTGCTAAGATCAAGATCATTGGAGGTTGTATCTCTTGTTTTTATTTCTACATAGAAATGAATTTTTTTAGCAAAAAAGAAAATAAAAGGAATAATCTCCAATGACCTTGATTTTGACAAATGTTATTCAAGTCATGATCCTGAATAACATTCAAAAGATTAGCCGTTGGTGGGACATCTTGGGTAATGTTAATGCTGCCGGTGTGCTATAACTTGCCTTATAATTCGAAAAGTATTTAATGAAAATGAACTTAATTATAGTATTTGAAAAACTCTTGAGGTAAGCTACAAAAATATCTAATGAAAAATGAGTTCCATTTAAAAAATTTAAAGTGATCTTACTTTGACCTTGATAATACCACCTAAGGTCAATGATATCATCTTATGTCCTGCTTGAAGTCACAAAACTTTTGTCTAAATTTTTCGATTTAATGCAGTATTTTTGAGATATTTGAGTGGATCCTTTAAAATGGGACACTCTGTATACACACACACACACACACACACACACACACACACACACACACATATATATGTTAATAATTGTAACCAGTAAATAAAAATTAATCTGTATTTTTGGAAAATCAGATCTGATTTTTTAGATTTACATATTAGTTACATCGGTTACACACAATGCTATTTATCTAATTGCACTATGCTTTGTTTAAAACTTTATCATAAAATATAATATAGATATTTTTTAAAGAGAGAGAGAGACGTCTAGAAATATTTATGTATTTTTTTGTATTGCTTTATGTTTAGAAGAGGGTATCTGTAACTCGTTCGTGTCGCGTTGTAAATTAAATAAATAGCTCTAGTCATGAAAACATAATAGAATAGAAATGTTTAATTTCTCATAATAATAAAGTAACATGTAATTATTGTAATTATCTTCATTAATATCGATGTTCGATGTATTGTATTACAGACAGCGTTGGGATAACCATATCTTTATTGAATCATCGTGAGAATGACGCATTTAAACAACGAATAAATTTAGCTCCATTTAATCGCTTAAACATTACTGTGAGAGATGTTCCATCAGATATTTGGTTTATTGTTTTACAAATTCATACATTTCAATACAATGCAACGTTATCTTACGACAAAGCACTACTTGACAAAGTGTCGAACAGAAGTTTATTTGGATCAAACATTGGTCTGTACTTAAAAACGTATGATATAACAGCTCCAATACAGGTATTTCTGAAGCATGAAAACGTGTATAATCTCGATGCATTGCTCGTGATTGTCACATACGGTCGAAATGGTAAGTACATACAAATAATATATATCTCTATTCTTTTCCTTTTCGAGCAACATTTCTTTATGGAATTAAATTTAACGCCGATACACAATACTGCCCATTAATATAATATAAAATGAATAGCCATGTATATATAAAGATAATTACAAGAGGATAATATTTACGGGATAAAGATTGAAAAATTATATACTGTATTAAATTAAATAACATTTATATTGATCGCGATAGCACAAATAAATCGCAAATCATACCAAGATGCATTCGATTAATTTGCGGCGCATCTCTATTATCCATCACGCGTAAATGGGT